CCAGCCTGAGTTTCAAACTGCCAAAACGCAGTTTCAGATGCAATTGAAACTCAGGCCCTGACTAAACTGCTAAAACGCAGTTTCAAATGCAATTACAAACTGTAACCCTGACTGCGGCCTAGTTTTCTCTTTTTCCTTTTCCGCTGGGGGGGGCTGTTTTCTTTTTTATAGCAGGGTGGGGGACATCGGAGGGTAACTCCCCATAGCTTCTTCGATTTTTTATTTCACTAATAATATTTTTTTTATTAGAAACGAAGAAAAAAAAAATGCAACCAGCCCAAATAAGCATTTTCTTTTGTTATTTTGTAGGTTATTTCGATTCTTTTTTTTTTTTTTCCATGTCATCACGCTGTGGGGCTTGAGGCAACTTTAGCTGAGTGAGCGCCCCCCCCCCCAAAAAAAAAGAAAGTGATCGGCCCGTTCACCAAAAAAACACCAAATGAACGGCCGGTCACGTTCAGGGGTCCGGCACTGGTACTGGCAGGTAGTACCTAAGGGCCGAAAAGTTTTTGGCGTGGGTGCTTTCTACCATTATCCCGGGAATAAAGGTGGGCGTTGCATGAGAGCAGCGCCACAGCCCAGGCGGACTCAGCCGAGCCTGGGGCAAAGCAGCTGGTGGGGAAAGGTGGTGGTTTTCGGGGAGTGAGGAGACTACTGAGAAGACGAGGGTGAGAGTGGATTGTGATGTGAGGGCACGTACCTGGTCTTGGCGGACGTCTACATGGTGGACATCTGGATGTGACTTCGGTTGCTGCTGCTGACGTCAGCTGGCTGCTCCTTCATTACACAGGCTGGTAGTGTAGCGGTAGGATAGTAGTCTGGGCGCTAAGCAACAATAATAGGAGGAAGAGATCTTCGACTTGCATTGTTGGTGTTGGCAAGTGCATGCTTTCATTGACAAATGCGGTCGCTGCTTGGGTTGATTCTCCATCGGTGTGAGACCAGTGCATTAATTTTCTGCTTTCTGGACAGCTTTGGATTATCTGGCTTTCCGGTGATTTTGCAATCTGGAATTCTGTATTTCGATATTGCTCATTTTCCTTGCGAGAAGCGGTCTTAAAAACAGAAAAATACACGACACACAAAAAAAAAAAACAGCGAAAGGTTTTCTGTACTAATTGATGTGTGAGATGAACGGTGTTTTCCTTTCAGTGGGAATAAAGAAAAGCAAGAGGCGCTCAGTACTGATCGATATGAAATTTTAGACGCCACAAGTGGACGTTCAATCGTAAATTAGAGTGCTTCACACGAGCATGGCAGGAAGCGGTCGATCTCCTTTAGCCTTTAGGTGTTCACTTGGGAGAAATCCTTGGAAAAAGCCCAAGAGCCTAGCTGAGTGGGTACACCCATGAACTGTTCAAAATACAGACCCGTGTTCGAATCCAGATGATGATGGAACCTGTTGATGAGTGAAAGTTGTAAAACCAACCTAAAAAAAAAAAAAAAAGGGGCTCTGCAGACTGTAGAGGCTGTCTCTTATACACATCTAGATGTGTATAAGAGACAGCCCATGAACTGTTCAAAATACAGACCCGTGTTCGAATCCAGATGATGATGGAACCTGTTGATGAGTGAAAGTTGTAAAACCAACCTAAAAAAAAAAAAAAAAAAAAAAAAAAGTTTGGAAAAGTGAAGTAGGACTCTAAACTCTCGCCGCTATAATTGGTGTCTCTCAAGAAGCGCGACCGTGGGGGACAAAAAATGAAAATCAAATCATGATTTAATCATCGCCTGAACACAAGTTTCCCCCTTAAAAAAATGGTATTATCCTTATAAAATTATGTCGTACAAGAAAGACCTGTTATATCCCTTTCCGCGGCAGCGCCGAACGAGGACCGTCGATTTATATCCGAACGGTAATCATCAACACACCGAGCACGATCACACGACTTGTCCCTCTCCATGGGCAAACTACTGTCTTCCCCCAAACACAACGCACCCTAATTACGAATGTATACAAGCTACTAGCTTTCCGGTCCCGTGCAGCCAAAATTAGGATGCGTTGTTTTGGAAAAAGCTACTAGCTTTCCGGTCCCGTGCAGCCAACGGTAGTACTATTCAAATCCTGAGCAGGCTGCCTCACTCTAATCACAGTACTTCGACTTTTTCCAATCAGTGTACTTTCTCTCCAGAGAAAATTTGAACTTCGAAATGAGCAGATTGCTCACGATCTGATATTTCAAGAAGCAGGAAAGAGAAGGAAACCCCCGAGAAGCGCTCATTTCATCCTCCTCGAGGCCTGGGTGCCCCTTCCTCTCCCACCCCTACCCGACCGACAGGCCTATTTGCCCCCGTGCTCCCTGTCCCACCCTTACCCGACGGGCCTCTTCGCACCCATTGCCACCGCGCACGGCTCAAGTCTGCCATCTGCGGCGTTGCTCCTTACAGCCCGCCCATGTGCTTCGCTCATGATGACCTTCAACCGCTCGCACACATCGGTCATGACTGGCCTTTGCACGTCTTCAGCGTGCGAGCAAGCTATCCCTAGACCAACCAACTCCATAACAACATTCCTCATGGCGATGCTCGTCTCCACTTCACCCTTCAAGCGCGGGTCGATGATCGTCGCAAGAATGGTAGGCATGTTTGGATGCGGGGAAAAGCCGCTCATCCATTCTGCGAGCGTCTGGTACTCCCCATCCACCGGAGATTGGCGCACAACGTCCGGCTTGCCTGTTAACAACTCCAACACAATGACTCCGAACGCGAACACGTCGGTCTTCGTTGTCACCCGCCCTCTCAGGAGGAACTCTGGCGCAATGTAACCGCGGGTCCCCGCCAGTGCCTCCGCCTGCGGGGATGTGGTCCCCACACTTCCTCTGGTCGTCTGGAAGACCCTCTCAGCAATGGCCGCTGTTCCGAAATCGGCGAGCACGACGTGCAAGCTCCCCTCCGCGCCGTCGCGAAGGAGGACGTTGCTGCTCTTCACGCGCCGATGAATGACGCTCGGATCGTGGCCACAATGTAGGTACCGAAGGCCTTCTGCGATCTGCGAAATAATCGATAATCGCTGCGACAGCGTCAGCGGCGGCGGGGGCGCTGCTCCGCGCACCCCCACCCTTTAGCAGTCGGGAGTGCAAGCTCCCGCCTGAGAAATAAGGGTAGACCAAGATGCACTGGTTCCCCTCGTCGCAGTATCCGATGAGCTGGATGAGGTTGGCGTGGTGAAGGCGAATGATAAGATTCACCTCCGCTAGGAACTCCCTGCGCTGGGCAGCCGTCATCTCCCCGTGCATTACCTTGATTGCCACCTCTTGTTCTCCGAGCGAACCCCAGTACGCTTCCCCAAGCGCCCCCTTGGCGCTTCCAATGCGATAACTTTGATGGAAATTATTCGTACAGAAACGGAGATCGGAGAGCGGGAGAGATCTGCAAAATGGCGGGGTGCAGGGGAGATGATCGGTAGGCCCTCCGGATGAAACGACAACGTTGGTGGATTGAGTGAGGTTGGCGCAGGACAAAGTGTCATGAGTGGGTAGTTCTAACGAGTCTCGTGCCGGTGGTCGGTTATTGCGCCGCCGACAATAAAAGATTGTAACGCCAGCGATGACTAGGATGACAAGAGCCCCGCACAGAACAGGAGCCACGATGACGACGACGGGATCTCGACGATCCTCGAAAGCTTGCGGAGGAGAAGGCAGGAGGGGAGATGAGCTACTGGAAATGGAGGAGCTTTGAGAGCTAGTATTAGGAGTTGGCGGGAAGGGCTCCTCACTACTACATACATGTAATGCACTCCTATCGATCTCCAGCTCGAATACTTGTCCGTCCATCGTACCTACGTACAGGATCGGATCGCTCATCCCGTCGTCAAAGAGCGTCAAACTGATCAGTTTCGTGCCCGTCGCTACAGACTTCACCGTAGTACATCTAGAGCACGGCGAATCGAGAGTAATCCAGCGAAGAGTACTATCATCGACGACGAACAAATTGCAACCATCTCTAGTTACTACTGGATTCGACAAAGACTGGGACGATGCGCTCAATCCCTCGCCATCTTGATTCGCTATCTGTCCTGATCCCGCGACATTCGTCACATTTCTCGATGATGATGATGATGATGATGATGATGATGATGATAGGGATGCTGATGGGGATAAGTTCAGGCTCCATACCATCTGACGATTCGAGTCGCTGAAGTAGAGACACCTCCCCTTGGGATCCACGCTTTGCGCCGCGAACTTCGTCTCTGTTATGTTCGGCGTCCCGCCGTTTGGAAACATGGCCTCCTGCACGAAGGAGGTAGGGAATGGCATGGGAATACCGCCATCGCCAGGGACCATGGCGGCAGAGAAAATGCGATAAGGTGCAGTGTCCCCGCCGACAAACAGACGCTCCTTAGGAGAATCGAACGCTACGCTCCGCGGCGACTCCACATCCGCTACTTCGAGTGCCACCCTATCTCCGTCGGCAACATCGAGGAAAGTCATCGGTTCCTTTCCTATGCTCATATGACTCGAAAAGAAGACCAGGTGCGTGCCAGACTTGGTCACATCCATGCTGCCCAACAGGTAAGCCATCAGTGTGCTTCGAAAGGGGTCCCCTTCAACATAGGCAGACAGAGCCGCCTTCCCACTTGCATTCTCAGCCGGCCACCAGTAACTAATCAAGCTTCCACCTCCCGGCGAGGCAATCGTACCTAGCGGGACTTTCCTAAAGGAGAAGCGGAGCTTGGTAATGGTTTTCAATCCGATGTCCACGCACGCCTCCATCAACCTGTAGTACAACATAGTGCCATTGGGAGAGAGGACAATGTCATCGATCATCCCAAGGCAACCCTCCGAACCATTGATTGAAGTCTCGAAAGGGATCTCTCCCGGAAACTTCACAACGATCCCACCGCTACGAAGTAAGACCCCATCAGTGATAGTCATATTGGATACCCCATAGCCCTGCAATGATCCATCCTCTGCCACGTGGCGACCGTGGAGAGTACTCGGGCAAGGACCATGATGACACGTGTCGTCGTCCAGATCGTGTCGGGATGAGAATACCCCCCTCAGTACTTTCTCATTTGCGGCTGCTGCTGCTGCTCGTGGTCCCGTTTGTGCGCCACCGCGGTCTCCTCTTGCGGATACTTCTGCCCTGCCCCCATCGCCTCGGCCTCCGCCTCCGCCCCCGCGCCCGCGCCCGCCCCCTCCCCCGCCCCCGCCCAGCCGCCCCGCATATTGAAAAGTGAAGATCAATACCGTTAGCAGCAGGAGAACGGCGGCAAGGAGCGCAAGCGATCGACCCATGACGATGACGGGAGATCCCGACACTGGTGACAAGCAAATTGCCCTCCTCGCTCTTTCTGCCTGTCTGCTAAATCGGCGGCGCTTGTCTGGTATCTCTATCTTAAATGGGTTTGACCGCATTTAGGGTCGGGGTCCTGGATGCATCTGACCGCAATTACATCCATAAACCAAGCGGAAAATTCCTGGTGTAAAATCCACGCCAGTGCAATCTTTTTTTTTCTTTTTTTTTTCAAGAGAACCTGCCTTCTCCTTATCGGGGGACAGCCATATAGTTTTCTCTCACCTCACATGTTTAAATCTGGCGTTCTCTCCACCGAGAGAGGTAACCTCCCTTTAGCGAAGAGAGGTAGAAAGCAATGCCCGCAGGGGTCCCCTGTGTATGGCCTTAGGAGTAGTAGTGGTAAGTAGGTAGTGAAAGAAACATATGTTCCATGACGACACGGAAGAAACACAGTGCAATCTCCATCGAACGTCAAATAACAATCTAGCACAATCTGTGAAATGCTAGAGAGGCACCTACCGAGGGATCCCGATGACAAGCGGAAGTCCTCTGCGATCGAACGGCGGCAGCAGTTTCTGCGGATCTCTCATCAGAGACAGAGAGATCGTGACGTGAACATTGTTATTTATGGAGGGCCGGAAACCCGTGTCGAAGTCGAAGAAGAGTCGGTAGAGGGAATCCCCCCTACCATTGCCTGCCTGCTAAACGCTGCGCGCCTACCATTGCCTTCCTGCCTGCCTGCCTGCTTGGTAAACGCTGCGCGCCGACATGCGTTGACCAACAGGGCTGCAGTTCGAGCCCTGTTCCAGTCATTGGGAGAAAGCGCCTACCGAAACAATAACCTCGGCCCTCCCTGCACCAGTCGCCTAATGTTAGAAAGACAAAAGCTATGGCGGGTGCATCTTTCCACGTTCTAGCCGGACGACAGAGGCTCCATTTGGCACATGTGGTGAATAGAGCGCCGAGGCGCCTACTGGCAGTCCAAGCAATACAATCGGACCCAACCTACCTGCGCATTGGCATCATACGTCCAAGCAAGACAATCGGACCCAACCTACCTGCGCATTGGCATCATACGTCCGAAGCATTCTCCGGGATCCGGCGGGTATGGCCGAATGATACTCGCGTGTAATAGGACGTCGCCGCACGCGAAAACGAAACGAAAAACGAAACGAGTACATCTTCCTGCAGAAAATGGCCACGTTCGTCGGTTTGCTATAAATCGTAACGACTGTATTTTGCCAGCTTTCGTGGGCAGATGCATTCGTTTCGTTTTCGTTTCGTTATCGGTAACAGAAGATGAGTTCAAGTCCCGCTCTGGATCGAGGACCAGGAACAAATTTTGAGCATGTGTGGGACCCTGCCATCCATGGCTGACAATCTCACCGGCTTGAGTTCGAACTCCACGGGAATCACATGAGATATTGGGCCTCCATGTTCTAGCTGAAGATTCATTCTTTCTTTTTTAAAAAGGTAATCTATATTTTGTGCATTTGGAGATTAGTGCAGCCTGAGCCAGGCCCATTGGCAGGTCTGCGTTCCCAGAGTTCAATCTCAGGGCACAGTCACACTGCGGTACTAAATACGCATCATTCCCAGAATCCCCCCAAAAACAGTGTTTTAGGGACAGTCACACCAGGATCTCATTTCCCCTAACTACTTATTCCTGACCCCATTTGGCGGTTGGGAATTTGCGTTAATCTCGGGAGGTTAGGTTACAGCAAATTCCCTTTCTTGTTTGGAATCAACCTGCGGAAATGGAAAGAAATTCAAAGACGGAGATATTTTCAGGAAATGCAATATTGCAGTGTGACTGGAGCGGTCCAAGAGGACCCAACCCAAAAATCCAGGCGGCGGCCGCAACCTTGTCTGTTGCTATATGGGGAAGCAGTGCGACCGGTCCCGCCAGTGCAGCCACTATTTTCCCAAATAGGGCATCATATTTTTTAAAGAGAAAACGATTTTGGGCTGGCAGTGTGAGCATGGCCTCAAAAGCAGACCTCCAATTGAGAAGACAGATTGACTTCGAATTCCAAATAATCACGTGTAATAAAACAAAAGGAACAAAGAACACAAAATGACTATCTCACAGCCATACTGTGGCCGCCATAGCTCAGCCAGAGGGTTGAAGGTTGAGGCCGGAAGCCCCTGGAGCCAAGTCCCACTTGCACCGTAGAGTTAGACTAGCTCAAAGGTGTGGCACGTGTTGCGCTAATTAAAAAAAGGGGTAAATAGGGGGCAGTCACGAAAGCAGTTTGTAAATGCATTTTGAACTGCCTGTTTGGAGTCCAGTACCTTCCCAAGTTTCAACTGCAGTTGAAACTCTTGACATGCACAAAAGTTGCGAGGCCCAGTTTGCAACTGCAGTCCAGTCCGGCATGTGGCGTTTTTTTTTTTGAGAAAACTAAGGCGCAGTCAGGGTTACAGTTTGTAATGGCATTTGGAACTGCGTTTTAGCAGTTTAGTCAGGGCCCGAGTTTCAATTGCATTTGAAACTGTGCTTTAGCAGGTTGAAACTCGGGCTGGCTTTTTCTAGCAGTTCAGTCAGGCCCATGGCCGTTT